TTTTTGAAGTGTTTGTTCTATGTCTGTGAAATATGCCATTGGTACTTTAACAGGTATTGCATTGAATCTGTATATTGCTTTGGGTAGTATGGACATTTTGATGATATTAATTCTTCCAATCCATGAACAGGGTATATGTTTCCATTTGTTTGTGTCTTCCTTGATTTCTTTCTTCAGTGCTGTGTAGTTTTCTGCATACAGGTCTTTTACCTCCTTGGTTAGGTTTACTCCCAGATATTTTATTTTTGTTTTTGCTATATCGAATGGGATTATTTCCTTGATTTCTGCTTCTGCTGATTCATTGTTAGTATACAAAAATGCCTTTGATTTCTAGATATTGACTTTGTATCCTGCTGTTTTGCCAAATTCATTAATTAGTTTGAGCAGTTTTTTGGTAGAGTCTATAGGATTTTCCATGTACACTATCATGTCATCTGCAAACAATGGCAGTTTTGTTTCCTTCTTTCCAATTTGGAAGCCTTTTATTTCCTCTTTTTTGTCTGATCACTGTGGCTAAAATTTCCAATACTATGTTAATAGAAGTGGTGAAAGTTGATAACCTTGTCATGTTCCTGATCTTAGTGGAAAAGCTTTTAGGTTTTTCTTACTGAGTATGATGTTGGCTGTAGGTTTCTCATATATGGCCTTTGTTGTGTTGAGGAATGCTCCCTCTATTCCCACTTTACTGTTTTAATCATAAATGGGTGCTGTAGCTTATCAAATGTTTTTTCCACATGTATTGATATGATCATGTGATTTTTGTCTTTGCTTTTGTTTATGTGATGTATTCCATTATTGATTTGTGAATATTGTACCATCCTTGCATCCCTGAGATGAATCCCGCTTGGTCATTTTGTATGATCTTTTTAATGTATTGTTGGATGCAGTCTGCCAATATTTTGTTGAAGATTTTAGCATCTATGTTTATCAGCTCATCAGCAATATTGGCCTGAAGTTTTCTTTCTTTCTTGTGTCTTTCTCTGTTTTGGGGATTAGAATGATGCTGGCTTCATAAAAAGAGTTGGGAGTCTTAAAAGGAAGAAATGTTAAAAATTTAAATGCAAATTCAGGGTATCAAGAGACTTATACTGAAATCTATATAAACATGTATACACATATATTTGTGTGTTTATATCTCTATATAAATTTCTTATCTATATTAAATAATACAGCTTGGGAAATCTCAAGTTATATAATAGTATTTTGTGGCAGTGACTCAGCTTTAACAATTTTCTTTTTATTAATCTTTATAAGAAAATTAAAAATTGAAGGGTATAAATTTGGACTGTCTTACAGATATAAGCATATATAGTGTCATAGGCCTTTACATTAAGGAAGCCCACAGCCAGTTTCAAACATTGGTAGAATTGAAATAGTTGAAGTGGCCCATGTTACTAGCTCTAACGTTAAAGCTCCATTTACTGGTTTTAACATTTAAATTTAGCTACTGCACATATTTATCACCTTAATTCTCATTTAATATTTGAAAGTTATTACTTTGAAGAAAGCTAAGCAAAGGTGATTATAGTGTATCAGAATCGATTGGAAGTGATTATTTTAATGACTCTGTACCAACAGGGACACGTAGACATTCAGACAGAAAACAACCTAATTATAATGACAGCACCAAAGTGAAGTTGCAACAGTTACAAAACCAATTTTAAAGTTTTTTGACAGCCATGCCTAAAAGCTTTGTTTGGACCTTTCAGTAATAACAATTTACTTAAGACATAAACCCACAGCTAAGGAAAATAGAAAAAGAAAGTTGCGGCTTTTCTGTCATGCAGATAAAGTGGAAACAAGCTGAAATGTCTTTAATAGAACATTATGTTGAAAGGAGTATAGAAAAGGAATAGTAGTTAGAGAATTTGACTATCATAATGCAAAAAAGACAAAATAACAGTGAAAATTCTAATGAGAATAGAAACTTGTCAATGGATGTGCTTATCTATGTTATGAAAGTCAATAGTTCCTGCAAGTAAATTGACCAGCATTTCAAAACATTGATCGGCAGTTCTGGAATTTGATTTTGTGTTACCTCTAAAATAAAACAATAGGCAAATGGATGTAGGAACACCTCAATAGCCATGGTGACACAAAACCCTTACTAAATATCTCTTTTTCCAATAGCTCTGTCATCTTTCAAAGTATTAGACTTTATCTCTTTTACTTATATCAGTTGGTTGTGGACTCCATCAAATATACAAGAAAATTAATTGTTGGACAATTAACTTCTTCGACCTTGGGCAATTAATTTCTAATTGCTGAACAGAAAATTATCTGATTTACAGACTGGCACTTATTTTTACTGCATATATTTTCATAACACTTATAATATGCAAGTATTACTCTAAGTGCTTTACAAATATTTACTCATTTAAACTTGATAACTTTTGAAGTAGCCACTATTACCTTTTTTCATCAGTTTTAATTTTTTTAATTTTAATTGTTGTTCAAGTACAGTTCTCTGCCTTTTACCCCAATCCCAGCCCAACCCCCCCAGCCCTCCCAAACTCCCTCCCATTTCCACACCCCCTTGTTATTGTCCAAGTGTTCTTTATCATTTTTCCTGCAAACCCTTCCCCTTTTCCCCTATTATCTTCACTTCACTGATGAGAAGACAGAGGCACAGAGGGGTTTAAGCGATTTGCCCAGGGCCACAGAGCTTGTAAGTGGTGGAGTCTCAGCTCCACTCAGTTTGTGTCATAGCCCGTTAATGTCCCCTGCAGGGCGATGAAGACCATGTTACATCATAAATGGGTGCAAACAGCATTCAAAGGTAGTCCTTTTGTCTTTTCCTCATTCTCAAGTTCTGCTTTAGTTACCTTTGAAACTAAAGATTTCAAAGACAAAAAATCTCAGGTCAGATCAAAGGGTAAGGATACGTACCACCGCTTTCTGAGAAGAAACAAGCTGCGTGGTGGCTCCCAACCCTGGGCAGCAGGCGAGAAAGGGTGGGGTGCCGTGGTTTGTTGTGTACCCGGCTCCTCTCTGCAGATCATCTCTTCTGCTGCTTCCCAAGGCCTTCAGCCACTACTCCTTTTGCATACTCTACCCCACAGTGGGAAGTTTATCCCAGAGTGAACTTTTTAAAAAACACATATTTATATATTTTAATTAGCTTTGACTTTTCTCCACATTGTATCTCTTTTATATGCCATTAAAATAATATTCATCTTTAAGATATTTTAGATCATAAAGCACAATCCAACCAGAAACACATGTGTCTTACATATCTCCCTACTTTTAAGTTTTTTTCTATTATAATTTATATTAAATGTTATTCTGTATCAAGTCAGATGTATAGCATAGTGGTTAGACAATTACGTACTTTACATAGTGGTCCACCCAATATGTCTAGCACCCATCTGACATCATATATAGTTACTATAATACTCTTGCCTCTATTTCTTATGCTATAAGGGACTTTAAACAGATAGGTACAGAGCTCATCTTTTCTGTGTACTTGCTTTGTGACCCCAGACTTATGACTTAATCAATTTGAGGTCATTGGAAAAAGTGAATGGTGTATCCCACCGTGTAAGGTCTATGATGGAGGTAATGGGGGAAATGGGGACAAATGTAATTGAACAAAACTAAATTTTTAAAAAATAAATAACATAATTATAATATGTCCTGGAACATAGTAAGCACTCAATAAATATTAACCATTCTAATAATGGTCATTATTTTTGAATTCCTAATTATCTCACTTCAGTGTAGACAGTAGACTAGGACCAGACTTTAGTGTAGATTATGATTGTACCTTCAGTAGATTTGTGAAACAGTGAGAGTTATTTAATTTATTTAAGATTCAGTTTTCCTCTCTAAAATTAACTTCCTTGTGCTGTTATGACATTAAATGAGTTAATTTATGTAAAGAACCTAAAACAGTTTCAGTCACAAAGTAAGTATAAATATAGACATCAGTTATTATTATAGTATATTTTAAATAAATTTTTTATACAAAATATACAAAGTTTCAGGTATTTGAGATAAATAATTATTGTATTTTTCAGACTATAAGATGTACTTTTTACCACATTTTTTGCTTCAAAAAATTTTTGCCCTTATTTTCCTCCTCTAAAACCTAGGTGCATCTGAGGTCCTCACCATAAGACATTTCCTCCTCTAGGTATTAGAGGAGGAAAATAGGAAAAAATTTTTGCTTCAAAAATTTTTGAAGCAAAAAATGTGGTGAAAAAGTGTGTTTTATAGTCTGAAAAACATGGTATATATAATAGCATAGTACATATGGCTAACAATACTGTATTGCATACTTTGAATTTACTAAGATGATAGATCTTATGTTAAGTGTTCTTACTAATAATAAGGATAATAAAGGAGATGTGAGGAAACTTTGGGAGGGATACTTTATGGCTTTGATGGTGGTGGTTTTATGGGTATACACTTATCTTAAACTCATTACATTGTATAAATTTGATATGTAGTGGTACTTCTATTTTATGTCAAATACACCTCAATACATTGATTTAAAAATTAAATTATTAAAAATAATTTAATGAATTATGCAGTACTAAAGTAAAAATAAATACATCTTAGGTTTCTCAGATTTTTTCCAGTTTTATGATTATACCTAAAATGTTTTCAGCTTTACTAGCTTTTTTTCTTAACAGAATAAAGCAGTAGTTTTTTTGTGGTATCAGTTTTTAAAAATCATTTTTTCACATACTCAACATTAAGGAAAAAACTAACTCACCAATAAAAATTAAAATATGGGCTATACACAAATTAAATGAAATATATTTTTTACTTCTAACTAAAAGTTTCCAGAACTACCATTTTTGAGCTTCCTGAAGACTAAGATTCCTTTGCTAACCCTGTTATGCAGTAGTTGATATTCATCAAGTTCTCTTAGAAGCATTATTTTGCACATCAGTGTGTCACAAAGGTGTTGCATGCCCAGGTCTAAGCACACAATTATGTTTAATTGTAAGGTTTAGTTCTTTGTTAAGAGTTCATCTGCTTTGCCTCCTCAGCAAATGATGCGATCATCAGTTTTTCACATGTTCATCCTGAGCATGGTGACTGTGGATGTGATAGTAGCTGCTAGCAACTATCACAAAGGAGAGAGCTTCCGAAGACAGTACGATGAGTTCTATCTTGCAGAGGTAAGCTGCTCACAGAAAAAAAAGTGCCTTTTATAAAATCGAAAATTAATCTTAATTTGTTAATTACTTGAGTTCAACCAAAGCTGCTTCTTAAGTGTTTCCTTTGGTGACTTTTTGCCTGATTGATTTTCTGTCACTACAGGCCTAGGTATCTTGTCCATAGTGCATTGCATTGCCAAAGTAACCCTTTGCCCTAGGTGTTTCTCTTGCCATCTTGCTGTTTTCCTATCCACCATTCATTGATGTGGACCCCAGCTCATGGGGTCCATGACATTGTGGATGAGACATGACAAATTCACATGGACTACCAAGTCCATGTGGGGGAAAAAGGATGGCAGGGCCACTCTCTGAAGAAGAGAGCACCCCGACCCTTGCCTTTTATTGCTTTTCTAGGCACATTACATGATGGTCCTCATTTACTATGTAGAGGTTTGCTTTAGGTGGTAACCTTTTACTGAAAACAAAGGAGCCAATGCTGCTAATCACATCACAGAAGAAGAATATTTGCAAATGCAAAGAGAAAAGTGGTTGAGCTGGTTACACTCATCCTTGGAAGGTTTAGCGCAGACTTTAGGAAACTACAGTAAGCACTTGTTGCCTCAGTTCAGGGTGAGGGAGTTTTAGCAAAAACAAGTCTCAAAGCAGCTTAGGTACAATGCAGGTTTGATTCCCCATGGGAGAATCTATCTGTCGGCATGGGTCCTGTGCATCTGCAAGTGGGAGCTGGGCCCATGTCATGCAGAATGGTCTCTTATAACTTATATTATCTTCCTTTTTTATGTTGTATTAGTCTGTTTCCTACTAAATGTAAACAAGCATAAATGTAGAAGATTTTAACAAGCGAGTCAGCTCAACAGTACCACTGATGGGGCTGGAGGGAAATTGAAGTAGATTATACAGTACTTTCTGTACTAAAGACTGAGCTATTACAACCTGCACTAAAGATGTCAAGCCAGAGGAAGACAGCTGTAATGATTAAATAAGCATGTTTTATATACAATATACCACCTAGAGTTTTAGAATAAGTCTTACTTATTCGGTAACTTTGTTAATATTTGATTCTTACTTTTTTGGTATTAATATTTTATTTTTTTAGTTGAGAGATTTTAAAAATTACTTTATTGTTGTTCAATGACAGTTGTCTCCATTTCCCTCCCACCCCAGCCAAACCCACCTCCCTCCCTTGCTTCCACCCTCCCCCTTGGTTTTGTCTATGTGTCCTTTGTAGTGTAGTTCCTGAAAAACATTCCCCGCACTGTCCCTCCCCACTCTCCCCTCCCCTATGGCTATTGTTAGATTGCTCTTAATTTCAATGTCTCTGGTTATATTTTTTTTGCTTTTTTCTTTTGTTTATTATGTTCCAGTTAAAGGTGAAATCATATGGTATTTGTCCCTCACCACCTGTCTTATTCCACTCAGCATAATGCTCTCCAGTTTCATCCATGTTGTCACAAAGAATAGGAGCTTCTTCTTTCTCTCTGCTGCATAGAATTCCATTGTCTAGATGTACCATGGTTTTTTTATCTACTCATTTACTGATGATTCTTACATATTTTAATTATTTCCAGAGACTACTTTTTTGTCACTGTGAAAAATTATTTCTAAAATATATCTCAGAATTCAGTGATTACATATTTGTGGAAAAATTGATTGACATATAATATTTAGAAACCCATTCACCATATAAGGGAAATATATACATATTAAGTGCAATATATTTAAAAAGTAAACTTAAAAAGCAGAAAAATTTCAATTTATTTTTATTATAAAAGCAATTTTTCACATACAAAATCTATTTGCCATTAAGTTGAGTTCTCTTAGATATCAGTAATTCTATCTGTGCATTTAAAAATTGATTTACTTAATAAAAATTCAATCTATCCACTCACAAACGTTTCATAAAAAGAATTATGACTTAACACCAATTGAATATAAACATCTATGTGGGTATCAAGAATATTTTCAGAAGTCACTTATGAATTCTTCTCTTTATGGAGGCTTTGTTTCCTATAACAAAATATTATTTGTACCAAACTTTCAGGGGATCAGAGTCTTTGTAGTATGATGCTGCCTAGTTGCTGCATGGTATATGGATTGTACAGTTTAGCAAGAAATATAGACAGTAAGTAACACATTTTCTCTGCTGTGGAGAACCAGTGAAAGGGCTCATGAAGAAATTATATGATTGGATAAAGAAAATATGATATATATATATATATATATATATATATATATATATATACACTACTCAGCCATAAGAGATGAAATCCTCCCATTTGTGGTAACATGGATGGATCTTAAGAATATCATATTAAGCAAAATAACTCAGATGGAAAAAGTAAAAGAAACATGATTTCACTTATATGTGGGTTATATAACTGAAAGCAATAATCAAGACAAACAAAAACTTATAGACACAGACAATAATATTGTGCTTACTAGATGGAAATGGGACTAGGGGGAAGTAGAAAAAGGTAAAGGGGTCAAATATATGGTGACAGAGGGACTTGTCTTTGGGTGGTTAACATACAATGCAATATACAGATGATGTATTATAGAACTGTATGCTTAAAACCTATATAATGTTATTAACCAATGTCTTTCTAAAGAGGGAATTCAGCATCTGATGTAGTTTTACTACAACACCAGCACACAAAGACTGTATTGTTATTTAAAATAGAGGGAAATACATATAAACCAATAGTAATATTTGCAGGTGAGTTTCAAACACAGCAATTGGATGTTGAAGAAATCCCCATCAAGTAGTTTCTATTTGTCCTATGAGTAGGAGGCAAGATCTGCATCCAGCCTGATGATGAGACAATTAAGTGGGAAGATTGTGGAGAAAGGAGAGAAGGGAAGTGGATACTGTGAAGAATGCAAAAAAGCTAATTAAAGATACATCAAATGCAATGTTGAAGATCCACCTGAATTTTGAGACTATATATCAATACTATACACCAATGCCAATTTAAACAGGTCTATGACTTTGCTTAGGCTTTGCATAAAGGGGAGGAAAGCAATATTTAGATTGATCAAGCTTTAGAGGGGTTTTTTTCCCCAGGCTGGTAGAGCTGATAGACAAGGAATCAGGAATTTTGGTGGCTGACAAAGGACTTGAAATGATGACCCTGTGGTCTAGGTTGGATATGAAAAAAAGTAAAAATAAGAGAAGAATGAAAGAAAAAAATTAAATATAAGGGATCTTTAAGTGCTCAAAGAACAGGTGTAGTTAAAGTGTTAGAATTAAAGAGCTAGAAGAAAGATTTTGATCATAGATTGGGATCCAGGATTTGGAATTTTAAAATAATTATTGGGAAACAAAAAATCTAGGGTTTTATATAAATGTGAGTAGCTTAAACAAAATGATGGATTCAAGACAAAAATAGCAAGGAGCTATCAAGCTAAGGTGTTAGCTGAATCTTCACAATGATACTGGAGTCATTCAGTGTGAGGCCGGTTCTTAGGGAAAGGAGTATAGGCAGGGGCACATGACAGTGACAGAAATTAGTAGAGGTCAGAGACAGAATGAGTTGAGGCAAGGACATAAGAAGCAAGTTCTGTGATTGGAGATTGAGAGGTAGAAGAAATTGGTTAACATGGAAGAAGACACTCAAAGGTTAGTTAAAAGCTCTGTGTAGAATGAGGTGGGAAGATAGGTGAGGAAGAATTAATTATATGATAATATTAGGATCAGAGATTAAAACCAGACTAATGACAAAAATACCTGGGAATAAATAACAAAAATGGCTACACATGATTGAGATTATTCCAGTCTCTGTAGAGGGAATAATTTGTATCTGCTCTGGAGGGAGTTCTAAATATTAGCGATTACATTAACAGTTTTTTTTCTAACTCAGTCCAGGGTGGGTCACCATCTTACTAAATGAATCCTGTAGAATAAATAAATATACCATCCACTGATAAAATTAGATAAATTTTATCTAATTTTTCACATATAAAATTGGTCTGTTTTCTAATGTGTTTTATGTGTATTAGCTGATTTGTGATGATGCTATAAACAATTCCACCAAAATTTTAAACAATGGCCCTGGCTGGTGTAGCTCGGATATCCCCCCCCCCTCTAAGACAAATAAATTTAAACAATGTAATATTGTAGAGTTCACTGGTACTATTTAAGTGCATTGATAGAGTACAGTCATAGTTTATAAATCCTTGTTATTTGTCATTCTTACATATCATATTAGAATTTTTTTCTAATTTTAAAAAAAACAGAGATATAAGATTGTATAGCAGGACCTAGCATATAGGATGTGTCTATTAATTGTTGCTCCCTTCTTAAACTACTGGAAGTGAATTGGATTTTAATAAAGTAGGTAGTACAATTTTAGTTCACTTAATTATACAGAAATCACTACATTCTTGATCTATTAAGACATTCAGAATTTGTTCCACTTTGGCTGACTAATGTTGAGTATCTGAGTTATCCAGAGCATATTTGGTCTTTATTCAAATTACATTATCATTTCTCTTTTTATCAGAAACTTGTGCTGTGAAATAGTAAAAACTATGTGTTTCAAATAAGTGTGAATAAGTCATTTTAATTGAACTTAGTTTTCTTATAAAATAGTTTCTTTTTAAAAAAGTTTATGAAGGTGATTTGAGTTTAAGCCAGGGGTCAACAAACTTTTACTTGAAAAGCCAGATAGTAACACATTTTAGGTTTTTTAGGCAACATGCTCTCTGTCCCAACTACTCAACTCTTCCACTGTTACGCAAAAGTGAGCTTGGTCTCAGAATGGCTATGTCCCAGTAAAACCTTATTTACAAAATTCACCAGTAAGCTTGATCTTGATTTAAGCTATAGAAGCACACAGCAGGTCAGCTAATATCCTCATGTGTTAAAATCAAATACAAGTATAAGGCCCTGGCCAGCCTTGCTCACTCGGTTGGAGCATGGTCCCATGCACCAAAAGGTTGCAGGTTCAATTCCTGGTCTGGGTACATACCTAAGTTGTGGGTTCAGTTCCCAGTTAGGA